TCACATTAAGATAATCAGTTGTGAGTGGATGTAAGGGAACTGACTGAAATGAGTACAGTACAGTATTTAAGATGACATGTCATCCAAGTATGCTGTTAACATAATTGTAGCTGCACTGGTGGCAGAACATACCCGCTAGTGATGCGCGGGCCGACCTGTAACCTGCAGGTCTTGCGGGTTACCCGCGGGTCGGGTTGGGTCGGGTCAAGAAATGATAACTTTATTGGCGGGGCGGGTGTTCAATCGTGATGCACTTTCTAAATAACTTAAAAGGTGAGGTTGGTCGTTTTGCCTGTTGTGATGTGTGGGTCAAGAAATGTTAACTTTATTGGTGAGGCGGGTCATTAAGGATTAAATATTTCCAATACAGCCTACTTCTTAACAACACTGTTGGGTAAATCCACCTGCGACCTGACGTCACTAAAGCGCCTATATATATTTATTTTTATTAAGATTTGAATTTGTTGTTGCCAGTTTCCAGTGCCACTTGAAAGGCTGTTTTCAAGCACATTTGTGAGCCCAAATAAAAGCCTTATTTAATGGCATATTTAACGTGTATTTAATAGCTGCGGGGCGGGGCGGGTTGTGAAAATAGATGTGGTTGTGCGGGGCAGGATGGAGCGGGTCAAATAATTAAATAAATGTGGGACCTGCGGGTTGGAAAAAACCCTGACCCGCGCATCACTAATACCCGCCATTTAGTGGAGGATTGTTTCCAAACTAAATGGAATGGTAAATGGACTGTACTTGTAGCGCCTTTTTAGTCTTCTGACCACTCAAAGTGGTTTACACTACATGCAACATTCACTCATTCATACAGTGATGGCAAAGTAATACCACAAACCATTATCCAGTGCATCCTTTACAATGTAAAACATTGTTTGCCATTAAAATGTAAAACAATAAAAGAATACTTCCACATTTCAGGATATGCACAGATAAGTAGATTGATAACACTCTCATACCTCAACACTGGAGTCAGCAGCCAATTAGCTTAGCTTCGCATAAAGATTGGAAGCAGCAACGGTCTCTGTCCAAAGGTGACGGTAAAGCTCACTAATTAACAGTTTAAACTGTGCTAAAAGCGTAGAAACAACAAGCTGACGTTTTGCTAGAGGATGTGCTGGACTATTTCTTGGTGCAGGGACTTTTTATTTTCTCAGTTTTTGTATTAATGAAACTAAATTACTAAGTTATTTACGAAAATTCAGAGGTGCTGAGAGGTGGATCTTTTTAATACAGAGACCACCAGTATATACGTATACTAGCTGTTTTCCCCTGCTTCCAGTGTCTATGCTAAGCCAGGCAAATTGGCACATTTAACATGTAGGCATGAGAGTGGTATCAATCTCAACGTCTATCGGTAAGATAGGTGTATTTAAGATAAGATAGACTGATGCAGAGGGAAACTGTTGTGCAGCAGCTGCAGTACACCTACAAAGTGGGAAAAAGTGTGAATACAAAGAGCACAAGTGGGACCAAGTCACTGTTTTGCAAGACAAGTCTAAAGTCTTTACACTTAAGTCCCAAGTCAAGTTCCAAGTCCTAAACTTTGAGTTTCAAGTCAAAAATAGGTCCTAAAATGTCCACCCCATAGTTTTTAAACTCAAATGAAATGAAAAGGCTCAAGTCCAAGTGAAGTCACGAGTCATTGGTTTTAAAGTCCATGTCGAGTTTCAAGTTGTTTTGATTTGGTGAAGCTGTCCAAAATCATCAAATCTGAGACCTGACTTGGGTCCAAGTCATGTGACTTGAGTCCACACCTCTGATAAAGAGTACAAATATAAAATAACAATAAACAGATTTCCAAAATATGAACAATGCCAAAAATAACAAACAAGGTTAACCTTAAGGATCATTTCTCTGTTAGCTTTTTGGTGAGTTGTATATAGATGTCTATGAGAAATATAGCCATCTACCATATGTATGATAGCAAATCAAAAGTACAGGTAAGTGTATAAAGTTGATTAAATAATAACATTTTAAACTATTCCTTTGAAAAGGTTTTACTCAGTCCCTCAGGAGAGACATTACACGGGTACACACAGCGTATGATTGTGCCGACTTTGGCCCGGATTCTCTTTGGTTTATAACTCCGTCCACAGCACCTCTCAGCTGTGACAGCATAACAACAACAAAAAGCTGTTTTATAAAGCAGCTCAGTGGTGAGGTAAGTGGAAAAACAGAAAGGCTACATTGTTGTTATTGGTAATACTACTGGTGCTTTTATTGAGTCTTTTAAAATTCGACACGATTACGTCTCCTTGATTATTTACTCAACATTAATTTGCCGCGTGCAGAGTGGAATCTGTCACGTTAAATCAAGCACATCTACTCTATACTCTCGTAACTGATCATATAGCCTCGCTGAGCTACTCTAAAACTTGGTTCCAGTTCTTGTTTGAGGAAACCACTTTGGAGGATGCACAAAACCCGCAATGAGACCACTAGTTACAGCAATTTTCTTGAAAAGTGTTACACACAATCTTACAGTAGCCTTTCCAACTCTAGTAGTCCTCGAGCAGTTCGCTGCAAACTTCAAGTGTGCCTCCTTTTTTCTTCCTTGTTTTTTTTTTTCAAGCTTGAAGGGCTCATTTATATTTGCCCAAAGTTTCCCTGAGCTAAGCCTCTCTGACCTATTACCCAAAGTCCCACAAAACCAGGTTTGTTCAAGTCCCTTTAAAAAACACACGTTTTTGCCAGATGTTGTTCCTTGTTTCTTTCCACATACTCGTAAAAAATTATGTTTAGAAAGAGAGAGAGAAAAAAAGAACGTTGTAATGACATCAGGATCTGCTTGTTGTTGTCCAGAGCTGCAGGAGAGTGATGTGCTTGTGGGTATATGAAAATGAAATACACATGAAAGACAGATCCATCTTTCTGCTGTCTCATTCCACCATGTTTAAAGTTTCTACAGTGCGGCCCTTCACTTTCTGAGCTGCTCCTCAGTCTCTCTGAATGAAGCCTCCTCCTGTCTCTCCCTGGCTCCTGCCTGCTTCAAAACACCGCCTTTAGTAGCATGTTTACATCCTACTCCTCTGCCTCTTTAAGTCGTTATGTTTAATAAGCCATCACAGCGTGTCCGGCTCCGGCTGTTCCTTTTTCCAATGGCAGTGATCTGTTCAGTCACTTTTTTCCCCTTTGCAAGTGTCTACATAACCGTGTATTTAAATAATAATAAACAGTCTCTTAGATAACTCCCTGTGCATAGACGTCTGCATGTTTTTTAACTACACCCACATATAAATTATATATAATATTACTAACCATTTTTCAAAGTAACCAAACATTACAACTTCTTCCTTCCTTTTTACATAATTCAGTATGACTTGAAAATCAACTTTCAATGTCAATTTCAGTTGGTAATTCATCACTGTCAATATTGTCAATTGGATTATGGTTATTAAATTATGCCATTATCACAGTAATGTGAGTAGGCACTGTTTGGAAAACTGTCCTTGTTGGTGCATTTAAGGACAGGCAGGCCTCATTGTTACCAAAAGAAAACTGTTCATAATGAAGTCTGTGGAAGTATTGTTCTCTAAAGCAGGCAAGTGTTTTTTCTAGCGAGAAACCTCTGATGAACCCACTGTACACTACCTGCCCAGCAACAAAGCATTTAGCAGCTAAAGATGCAGATATATTGTCTGATGGAGACCAAAACGGAGCAAAAGTGTGAGAGAATATTGGACTTAAATTCATCAGGTGGCTAAAAACATGACTCTGGATGAATGGTAATAATTATTTGTGTTTGCTGGATGTTTAAATACAGTAAGTAACTCTATGCCGACATGTTCACTAAAGGTGATATATAAATCTTGTGTTTTGTTTCCACATTTTCTACTTGCCAAAATGATTTACAAAATGGTTATAATGCAGGTTTAAGAACAGGATCTGCATATAAAGACAAACAGCTTGTAATTGTTCGTAATATGAGGCTGGTACACTTTACAGCTTCAAACTGCAGTGATATAAAATTGTTACTGTTCATGCTAAACACTAACCATGTGCATCACTTATTGTTTTGTCTTTTTCAGTGCCAGTAGTTGCTTTAGTTGCTATCTACTTGGCCAAGATTAGCCAAAAAGGTCTTGTAGCAGAACATTTATTACTTGGGGAGGGAGGACCCAGGTCAGCATGTGCTCAGGGCAAAAGCAGATTTTAGCACAGAGACAAGTTAGTAAATTACTTAACAATTTGGGAAGATCTCTTTCCTGTTTCAACACATCAGTGCCCCTGTGCAACATAAAGACATGTTTTCTTTCCCAGTCTAGTGTGGAAGAACTTTATTGGTCTGCACAGAGCCCTGACCTCAACCCCATCCAACACCTCTGGGATGAACTGAGATGCAAATACAGGGCCTACCGCCCTACATCAGTTAGGCACCTCGGCCTCCCCTGAACAGTGGAGGATGCTATCACATCAAATGGTTTTGGAATTAAATGTTGTATACTCTTTGCTATGTGTATATTTGGTTTACTCACCCGTGGCGTCAGCAAATGAATAATGCTGGTAAATCAGCTGCTCTTGACATGAATAACCCCAAATGAGAACATAGGAACCCATCCAGGAACTTGAGAATGTTTACAGCTAATGATATAGCAGATTATATATCTATCTCATTTGAACTCTTACTGTTTTTTTACAAGGAACTTTCATTTTGTGTTGATCATGGCGTCTCCTGTGGACAAAAGCAATAGTGTTTCTACCCCCTTGTTTCAATGATTTCAAGGGGAATCTGATCGAATATGACCCGGTGGTAGGCATCAAGAATAATTATATGGAAATAGCTAATCTTCTTGCTGATCATGATCAAAGGCATCACGTAGTACGTTTAGTATACAAAAAGTAATATGAAGGTGTTGGAAGTTTCAACTCCATTACTGCTGATATTGCTCCTGCTGGTACAGACAGATAAAGTCCCCATGTTCTCAGGAAAACATAATATATGGAAGCTATTCATGTTATTACATACAGTATATATTTGTATCACAACTCTCTGTCAGGTACTGTATTTATTTTCAACACAAGATGGAGGCAGATACAGGTGTGATGAATCCACGAGTGCTGTAAATCAGTTATGAAGCAAACATTATGTATAGCTCTGTGTATTAAAGTGCTTTAATCTGTTTACTGAATCAACCATTTAAAGCCAGAGCTCATTTTTCGTGGGCGGAGGCTCAACGCTCTGATGATACCAGTAACAGAATCAACTTACCACTTTAAATCGTCAGTCTGCGGACAAACAACAACATACAATAATCAGATTGTGTCGCTTTATGTTTGGTATCACTGTGATGCAGTTGGACAACTTCAGGAGATATGAGTAAACACAAACGGTAGTCAAAGCTCATATCAAAACACAACAACATATTTGTCAAAACAGTTAAGGGTTTCTAGTTCAAACTTCTACATTCTTCTTATTTGGACATTCATAAAAACGTCAACGTACAATATAGATTTATTATTAGAGACACAAATGTAAAAGGCTTTTGTAGTTCTACTGTAAGCAAACAAGTGGGAAACGTATTTCATCATGTACTGTACAATGAAACCTTCTCCATCTTAATTGTTGGAATATGCACATTAATACGGCCATAAGACAGATATAAGAGACAGACAAAAATGCTGTTGTTGTACAAAAGTCACACTACAGGCTTTAAGTGCCCTCAGAATACCTTTTTATACCACTGGTGTCTTGTAGAAGCCTTACGTGTCTATTTTCAAGACCCTGGAAACAGGCCACATCACTGCAAAATATCAAAAATACATGTGTCTCTCGATGGGGGAATTTCACTTTAAAGGAGTACACCAGGTTTCTGCAAGACACTGCACACAGCGAGTTAGTTCTGAAATCTACAAATGAAAATGTACAGTGGCACAAGAATAATGCATATTACTGTGAGATATATGTCCATCTCTTGTTTTTTTTTTCAACCAGTTGCAGCGACAATGATCACGTGAACACTTATTTATTCCTCAACATGCACAAACTGGACAATGGACCTTTTTCACAGCAAACATTATGGCATGCAACAGGATACTGTTGCTGCTGCTATTGTAAATGTTGGCTCACTGGAAAGGCTCTGCTGCACTACATGGAACGGAACCTTAATTACTGTTATTGGTGTGTTCACCATGCAACTTCATGACAAAACAGCTGCTGTGAAAAAGGTCTATTAGATTAATAATTGCACAAGTTTAGAAAAAAAATGAATACACTTGCACAACACATTAACAGCATAAACACCCCTCTAAGCCACCATCATCACACTGACATGAACAAAACGTCTTCCAAAAGTCACATTTTCACATAAGAACTCAGATGCGTGAGTTCTCTATGATCAACGTGTTATTTGAACTTTTGGGGCGCCTGAATTCACCTTGCTTACAGTCAGCTATGGTAGTAAGGGCAGTTGCATCAGGTCATGCGTCTGTACTGTGTGACATATAGGAATGTACAGTAGTCATGCATAATAAAGATACCCTGCTATATAAACAATGAACACTAGGTGGCAGATTTTGCCCACTTTGTACACAGCTCCAGTCTACCTGGGAATAAAATGTCAAGTCATGGCAGGGGAGAGGGAGGGACATGCATAGGGCAAACATTACACTGGGGAATATTGCTTTTCGGAGAATGTGCATTTAACCTATATTCAGATTTCTTTGCCAAAAATATTCATACAAAGCCTGGTTAGACCGACTCTAACTAAAGGCTGTCTTTCTCTCTGTTGCCTTCTCCATCCAGCCTCTCATCTCTTCTCCTCTTCCCCATCCCTTCTGGCATCAAACAAACAAATCTCTGGATCCTCTCCTCCTCCCTCTGTCATTGTCCATCTCATCTCTTTGCTGCACTCTCTCATGGCTTTGATTTTCTTTCTTTCCAACCCCCCCGAAGCCATACTGTCTCTTACACCTTCATCTCTGTCCTTTTTACTCCCTTCTTCCCTCCTCCCCTGTCTCTTCTTCCCTTCCTTCCTTCCTTCTCCTCCTCCTCTCTACAGGGTAGCCGGAGAGACTGGCATTTCTCTAACAGCAGGAGGGGAATCTGCACCCAGCTTCAGCCCACGCTGGGCAAAGAGAGGGTGGGTGTGTCAGGGCAGAGAGAGGTGTGTGTGTGTCTGTGTCTGTGCGAACATCTGTGATTGGTTATAATGAACATGTGACCGGAACCCCACCACTAGACCTTCCAACACTTGTATGCTACCCTCAGTATGACGTCCACCTCAGAAACTCAAAGAGTGTCCCTGAATACTTCCGTCATCGCTAATGTTGGTTGGATTACCCCTGGGAGTCTGACCCCCCCCTCCAGACAGAATTGAGACAACTACAAAATTTCTAAACAGCTTTATGGTTATGTATTCACAATTTCCATCCTTGGAAAGTGTAAATCACACTAAATACATGCATCACGTTTGTGTTTAGATCTGACTGAGTTATGACTCAGAAGAAAGAGTGCACTTTTTGACACAAACTGCGGTAATCAGGCGCTAAGGGTTTTAAAGTACCTTAATTGCCTCCATGAGCTGTGTTTCACAGGTGCTCCTGCAGTTTCAACTGCTAACTGTGTCGAGAAGTGGGCCAAATCAAACTGCCAAAGCACAATAACTATCTTTCGTTGCTTTTAGAACATCAGCATGCACCTGTGCCTTTCACCTCGGGCAGTCTTTGCCATCAACTCCCCTGTATCCTCTGGGGAAGCGTGCCTCACAGCAAACCCCTGGAGTGAACTAATTGTTTGGCAGCAGCCTGACAATAATGACGATAGTAAAGTATAAATCACAAACACCTGTCCTTATGGTGACCAATTACTCCAGTGAATTACAGTCAAAACTTGGTCCAAAATTCCCCCCAAAGCACCTGACTGGCACATGCTGGCGTATATTGCTCATCAAGTGCTCTGCTTTCATTCGGCTCACTTTGATTTAATTTAGTGTCTTACACTTCCTGGGACTCCTGCCAGATGTGACTACCGTCAACACTTGCTGAGGACAAGGACAAATGTCAAAACTTTATGTGCAAAAAACATGCCTGGTGAGAGGAATTCAAAACCCCAGAGCTGTGAAATGATAGTCAGGAGGGGAGGAGTGGGCCGGTCATGGTTCTGTCTCACTGATCTTCCATACAGTAAATGAAAAGTAACACTATATAACAGGGTGAGTTAGAGAGGAAAAAGATGAGGTACAGCAGCAGGTGAGTCAGGGATGAGCGCCCACTGCGTCGGTGTGATGTGCCTGTTTAGCTTCAGCGGTGATAAGAGAGGAAGAGGGCAAGTCATGGGTCGATCCATCCGCTCCTTCAAAGTGACAAATAACTGTACGGGAAGTGAGCGTAGATAAGCGCATGGGGGGGGGGGGAGAGAGAGAGAGAGAGAGAGAGAGAGAGAGAGAGAGAGAGAGAGAGAGAGAGAGAGAGGGTGGAGAGGCAAAGTCGAGCAGCTGTGTCAGGGTCAGATATGCCGGTGTAGCTCCGGCAGTGGCGAGGAGGAGAGGGCTGGTCGCGGTTCAACTCCTCCACTCTTCATAAAAGACAGCAGCTGGTCGGGGATCTCGGCGAGGACATCCTTAGCCAGCCGGGCCATGCTCAGGACCTGGTTGCCAGATCTGTCGATGTAGTCTCTGAATGGAACAAACTGGAAGCGGGGGGGGTATTTAATATACATTATAGCTATGAGACTGATAACATCTCTAAAGGCATTGTAAAGGACAAATCTAGACTTCTCTTAACGTTAATGCTCACCAAGCCCTCTTCAGAAATACATAACACTGCTGGCTTCATCTGTCTGTTAAAGACACTTCTGTTATGTAAATTTTTGAGACATGAGCCACAATGCTTGTGTAATATATGGCACCTGGTGTGCAAGGGAGGGGAGCGGAAAGTAATGATAACTCTCCTCTGGCTGCATCAGTAAATGGATTTTTAAACTTATCCCACTGTCAGAGCTTTAATTAATGACCATCATGAGGTGCATGGTCATTAATACGGATGGGCGCTCGCCCCCACTTCTCAAAGTGAGTCCCCGCATACATTTTAGCATCAATTTCTTCTTTTATTTATGCTGCCATAGAGTGACGATACATTGTGTGGTAACTCTTGTGTAATTCCTATTTGCTCACAGGCTGTATGCAAAACGTTACTCTGTATTAAACTAGATGGTATTCTTTAATGGCGCATAAGATGTCATAAATTGTCATAAATTGTAGGGCTGTAAGTATCTATTAATTGTTTGGGTCTTTGTTTTTTGTTTTTGTTTCTTTAGAAAAATGCCCATCCAAATTAACAACTTGAGAATGATTTAGCATTGCACTCTATTCAACGTATTATTCTTCCCTGTCAAAACCTGGCACCCACATTACCCACAATGCAACCCGACCAGAGATTCACGTGTGTTATGACAGTAGCAGCTAATGTAGCTTACTGCTATCTAACTCCACGCCCCCAGACTGTTTTAATTTTTAAACTTGTAGCCCTCAGCCCCAACCCACGCTGACTCAAGTAACATCACTCAGGGCAATTTATCACACAGCTCCCCTGCGAAGTCACAGAAGTCTTTAAACAACTTTTCTCACACATGCAGTAGTACTCCACAACAGTTTTATATGCTTTGTGCAAAAGAGATGATTAATGAAGTGATACATTTATTGCAGTGCTCTTCAGAAGGCGGAATAAGGACTGCATTTAATGTGTGTTTGATCTTGTGCTGCCTTAACCCTTTTTAAATAATCTGATTACAACATTCAATTTAGATTTGTCATTGGAAGTTTTGTGAGAATCTCGCCATGTCTGACCTGCAATTGCAGTCAAGACACATTTACTGGTAATAACATTTACTATATGTATTTTGGCCCACGTGTAATTAAAGTGTATATTGATAAAAACCAGCCAAAACTTTCTACCAGGGACTAGGCAGGTGGCCAAGCGAAGATAATATTTGAAGTTAAATGTCCACCAGTTTACAGTGCACAAGTGGAGGTCTAATGGGTGCAATATGACGTTAATTAAAAATAATCAACGTTGTTGCACTGAAGGCATTCATCATATTGAATCATTAACAACAAGAATGCATGGAAATGTAAAGAGTAAACATCCTGATTGAATTACTGTCATAATAAGGTTAAAGGCAATCAAAGGATTACCGAGAGCATGCAAATGTGATTACCGCTGTTAGTGAAACAAAGTGCAGGGTTGGGACTGTGAAAACATGATATCAATATCAGTAAGTTAATAAATGATCCAGTTATTAACCCTGTGTGGGGTCATGCGTCTTACAATGATGTTTTGCAAAACAGGTGATTTCTCTGTGTTCACTGTAGCAAGACAAAGCAATTAACTCAAAGCATGTAGGAACATATAATTATATTACTTCAGCCCATTAACATGTTGTTAATATTGTAACCTGTTTACCAATAAATAGCTACTGCCACTTTGTTAGAATTAAATTTTTTAAATCTTATAAACTCGCATGCCTTCTCTCAACATCTAGACACTATACATATATCATTGTAAGCGCTCATTTATCATTGCTGGAACCTATGCTCGACCAGCTGACTGGCCAGTCTTCTCCACACTGCAGAAAAATTCTATAGTACATTGTTATCACAGGCAATTGTATATGCTTCCTATTTGTGTTCTCATATCTCTAAAAGGCTTTTTCAACTCTTTTCTTTTTTACCGTTCACTGTTGCCAGATGGGGTTACTGCTCGCTCTTTATAAAACTTGCTGCTAAACAACTCAAAGGAAAAGCTGCTCTCTCTCTCGACCTATTTTGTAGTTCATCTCCAGGTACGCAGTCAGAGTTAATAAACAATTATTTTTTCAAGACAAAGTACTTTGTTAAACCTAAACACTGTCACCCACAGACGGAGCGGAAAAATCAAACCTCCTAACCCTTGCTGACCTGCTGGACGGTCAGTCATTACAAACTCATGCTGCACAGCAAAACTTACCAACCAACAGAACCTAAACTCTTAAATTCAACTGGAAATCCCAAAATTTAAAGATACCAGTTATGAAAAGCTGAAGTTTAGGGAAACATGTATAAAATGATTTACAAAAAGACGAACAAAATATCTGAAAGTATTGTATTTCATGTATTTTGAATAACACTATACAGTATACTACAAGCTTATATGAGGAGATGGAGCACAATGATACAGAATGTATATGATACTGTCAGACAGTGTTATATACCAGAATATGTCTAACCATAGAGCTACTTAAGGGGAAAATAAAAGGGGAACTGGATGTTTAGGGGTTAACAAACAAGCCGTCCAACTGACACGCACTGCAACACTTCCAGTAAACGGACTCCAGTCTGTTTCACTTCATAAGAGCGGTGGCAGTGCACAGTTGTGGATAAAAGGTGGGTGTCCTCAGTACTAGTCTAGTACTCTTAATGTTTCCGTTCATCAGACAGTGAATTTCAACAACTAATGCCAGTTATGTTTCATATTGCAATTTGGTGGAATAAAGGCTAAATAGTCTAAATGGCCTAAACCTAATCAAACATATTGGTTTATTTTTAAAAGACGTGAAAAATGATCAATTTCGTTCCTACGTTGGTGGACAAACTTCTGCAGGATCTACTCCTACAATCCTCAGTGTATAAAGCTCACTTTAACACATTAACACAATGTGGTAACATGTATGACACTACATGCACTATACTTCTACAATAACTTCACATTTGTAATGATTTTCCATTAAATTATTACTGAATGTCCTTTTTTAATATAAAATACTTTTTGAAACAGAACTTTTACATTGAATAAATAACCCAAACATATTCCTGTGTGAGACTGCCTATCTTAAGCAACTTAAATTAAGCAGGTTCATATCTGAAAAAAACTTGACCCTTTGACCTTGCTGATTTTATATTGTAAAATCAGAATCAGAGAACAAGACAATGAGCCTGTTCAGTGGCTCACTATAGATGGGTAATGTATATTGTATGAGGCAGTTCCCCTTGTGTGTTTGAGTCTGTGTTATAAATGTAAGCTGCCCTCCTCCGGGGATAACTCCCCCATGCTGCTGCTGTTGACAGAAACATGCTCAAATCTAACCTGCAAAGTTAAATAGAATTATGATGAATACCTGTACAATGTCTCGCTCAGCAAAGCGTCCTCTGGAGGACACTCTCACCTCATCTCCATCCAGCTCCTCCATGGCTAAAAGGATAGAAAGCGACAGAGAGAGTATGACTCAATACTGGAACCACCGAGGGAGAATACAAAGAAGGTACAGGATGTTCTTCTGTATTTCCATAACGATTGCTGATGTGGAACAAAGGATGGGGAGTAAGAACAGGTATTCAGTGGAGAATGGTTAGAATGGTAGGAAAAAATGTCATTGCTTAATCAAAAATTATGCACAATTACACCACAGGTCAGAAAATCTAAATAAATCCACTCATGGGGAAATCTTACAGGAACACTTTCAGCTAGCCATGTCAACCATGGCCAAATTGTTCTATGATGGAGATCCAGAGTCATTCTGAGAGGTCTTCTAAAACAGAACCTGCACAAGAGTGTGTATCCTGCATCTGGAGTCGGCTCTGCAGCTGGGATGTGTGGCGCTGCTACGGAAAGGTGGCAGAACACAACGTGAGGTCAAATCAGCAGACAGAGTCACAAGGAAATATTAGAGGACAAACACCAGAACTGACGGGATAACACTAAAAGTGCCATGCTACAATCTTAAACACATGTTCAAAAATGGGGTGCCAAGACTCAAGATGGAGCAAATAACAAAAAGAGGCAATTAGCCCTGGCAATAAAGTGTACACACAGACAATCTGGGCTGCTATGGAACCAGTATGACCTTGTGACCCCCCCCGACATGCCTGACTGCCCTCGCTACCAATCCCACCGTTGGATTGCTTAAACAAGTAGAAAATGATAAGCCTTCCAACACAATGGTGATGGATATGTCGTCACACCCTGCTGAGCAGTAACAGACTGCACACACACACACACACACACACACACACACACAGAGTCCCCACTGCAAATTCATTGATCTGTGGGCTGTAAGATGCCTGCATGCTTAACTCCATTGACTTTCTGCAGCACCTCTCCCAGGAAGGGGAAAAGTGTACTGGTGTATAAAAAACAATTATGATACAGCTGCTATAGTGTTTCCTGTTTGCTCACAAGAGTCCCATCAAGTCAGGGAAAAGTCAAGGCCAAAGTCAAAAGCACCCTTTTGTATAAAACATCACATATTTGTGTCTTAGCACTGTCAAGGTTGTTGAATTTAATTACAGTGGTTTACATTTCAAATATATTCAGTGCACGTTGCTTCCCATGGCTGCTGTGTGTGGTCTCCTATCACATTCTGCTCAGCTATATGCCCAACCTTTTTGTAGGGATACATGTGATGTGTTTTGCTGAGAAACATCAAATGCAACGTAGGGAACACTGGGATTTCACAATTTCAGAACTTTCAAAGGTGAAGTGTTGATGGAGCGCACTGGATCGAAACCTTGCCACGTTCTTTCTCCAACTGAGGAAATAGAATACTCAGTTTGTATAAACCAGTTGAAATTCTTATACATTGTTCAAGTGCTTGAAGATCCAAGGGAGAGCAAGGGAGTCAATAAAAACAAATATAATGGTTAGTGGTGTAGAGATTTAGTGATAAGAGTCGGAAATCATTTTTTAACATTATAGATGCAACTACATCGATCGTAAATGCCCCATGAGCCGGTCCAATTCTAAAGTTATGAATCAGTTGACTGAAGCTTTGCTGCTAACAGCATCTCCACTCATGAAAGGTTAAAGGTCAACGCTAGAGTCTTGTGACAAGAGCGACGAGAGTAAGGTTAGCACAGCATGGCTAGTGTGGTCAGTACATAAACAAACATGTCTGACAACGCTGACGTGATTTACAGTGCAACATAAAATTGAATATCTAAAGTTTGGAAGCTACTTGGACTCTTTAAGAAGAAAGGAACGTTTGACAGAAGTCTAGCCATTTGTAAGATCTTCGAATGCACAAATCTCTCGCATACACCATGACTGCGGCCTAAATGCAACCACAGACGGCGGAGAGGAGCTTCAATGATCCCGCTTCACATCATGCTTTCTTTGTCTCCAAGACGTGTGTCCATGTGGGTGTATGCTGAACATACAGTTAGATCAAAAGATACAGACACTCTTTCTTTTCGGAGCTCACCCAGACATGCGTACCCACACACATACACACCTTTTACTACATGTAGTTAGGATATGTTGTGTGTTTTGTCTACCAGCCGCAGCACTCTCACTCAATACTGCACCAATTTCAAAACTTGCTATCCCCATTAGTCACTTAGACAATATGGTCTGGGTTGACAAATACCAAAGTTTCCATTAAATGCAGGTTTAAAATAGTTCAATGGAAAGATAATACTGATATTGTCATTGTCCCTGACTGCAGCTGCATGCTTCTGGCAAGAATCATGTAATCATTTTCTTCCCTCATACCCGCATACAGATGATCTGATTATGAAGATGTATAGTCATTTAAGTTGCCATCAAAAAATAGTGTGTTTGTTTACTCCTGGTGTGTTATTCTCATTAGGATGACTAATGATGACAGAGGAGAGGAAAGTTGCACTCAATGACAAAAAGTCCCTTTATATACAGAAGATAAAAACGTTTTTGGTAAATGGACATTTAAAATGAGAAATCCAAAAATGATTGAAAAAAACAAGCTGTACTTTCAGGTCATATTTTCCTTTTCTGTTTTCATTTTCAAAACAAAAAAGGTGTCATTCCCAATTTTTGTTTTCTCATTTCAAATGAAAATCCGTTGGCTGCAAAGTACACTGACCATCCAGCCTTCATCAGTGTCACAGTCATGCAGCAGAGATAGCTCTTAAATAACAAACAGCTGATCCACTTCAAGGTGATTGGCACTGCACCTGCTAAGGCAATCAGCCACATTAACAATCAGTGAGCATCCAGCATTGGAACAAGGAAGAAGGTGGAAACTAGGTCATCACAAAAGCTGTGAGCACTAACTCAGATGTCTGCACATATCAGATGTTAATACATTCTTATCATAAATGTAGTCAACAAGAAAGGCTCAAATTTAATGGATTCTTTTCGTGATTATCACACTGAAAAAGAATAGAAAATCCTGTTATTGTTAACATGCAATACAAATAGTAAAATACAACATCAGGGATATTTAATAGAGGCAGACTTAACTTTTGAAACAGTTTCCACATATACACTTTTTGAAGGTTTTTAAATGTACCCCCTATGTATTGTATATATGTATTGTATTTTCAGGTGAGCCCGGGAACCGCAGATTTTAACTTACCGCACAAAACCTCTCTGTTACATGTAAGTTGACATAATATGTTGTAGAATCTTTCTGTCATTCACTCGTGTGGTTATGTATCAACATTTATATGCACTGTCGTTAGCAGCAGCACAACATGTAAAAAGCAAAGAAGACTGTAAAGTTTTCCTAAGTATTCAAGTTTTGTACCCTTGGTAAGTGAGGCAAGGTACTTTATGTCATTTGTTTTACTCCAAAAAAAACCTTCAAAGTACTTGTAATAACTAATACTTGACCTCAATTTCAGTATTCTACACTGCCTGTCATTAGAGAAATCACTCAGAACCGACCTAATTGGTCAGGCACATCTCAAACATTCTTTCTTCATTCATTAGAAATTCAAAGGCTTAAAATGTGTCCATGTAGTGTTATATAAGGTTACTGTGTCATATTCTCTAGTGTCAGAAAAAAGTGTGAAAAAAAGTGTTTTATTATTTTAAGTAATTTATTGTGTAGTGTATACATGTGTACATGCAAATGATGCACTGTAACATTTAGAGTATTTGTTTACAGCTGTGTGTTTGGTGAAAGGCTTAATAAGCTGCAATTTTGTTGTTCGTTTTTACTTTTCACGACCCTGCTGTCTGACCTATGGTGTACCTGTGACCTCTCCTCAGTGATGTTTACTCATGTTGGCATAAAAAATTACAAACCTATTGTTAAAATGAAACACTCACCATCAAATTCAGCTGGTCCAACACCCACGATAATTATGGAAAGGGGGAGTGATGCTGCCTGTACAAGAAAGACAATGAACAATCAGCTCAGTTGATTTATTAGATCTTAAGGATGCATTAAAACAGAAAAGCATTGGGAGAGCGACAGGGATTTTAAGAGAGTTAAATTATTTCGGCGTAGTGAGCAGTGATTGGCATTTATATTTTATTTTCATCTGAAAGGTGAGAGTATTAACTTGACCCAATATTCTACAGGTACAGACAATGGAGTCTGTGAGACATCAACATTATGTTAAAAAAGCTTAAGATCAAAAGTTGTGCGTCCCAAGAAAACTGAGCAAAGAAGACCGGTATCATTTGGAGGATTTTTAATAATTTTTGGGGGCTTTTATTGCCTTTAATCAATGAAGATAAATAGGAGGGAGAAAATGACCTCAATTTCAGTATTCTACACTGCCTGTCATTAGAGAAATCACTCAGAACCGACCTAATTGGATCAGACACATCTCAAACATTCATTTGACAGGTTATTCAAACACCTATTGACCTCTGCACAAAAGAGACATCAGTCTCAATGAGAACCAAAATGCCTTTTCTTCTCCACTGCTTGAACCTATAAGACAAAATCTGTATTATATTTTGGCATTTCGACTTTTTCCCGAGGTTCTGTTTATCACAGAATGCTGAATGATGGGACACACCAAGCTGTTTCTTTATCCAGACTTTGGGGAGCTTTTGCCCCCCACGCAAACAGACAAGATGATGGAGTAACAGAGGGAAAAGCACTGCTATCCATCAGTCTCTGTGTGTGTTTGTGTAAACATGCGTGCGTGTGTGTGTTTGTTTACTCACATTGACCACAGCCTCTTTGGTCTGGACCATGTCAGATATCACTCCATCTGTGATCATCAGCAGGACAAAGTACTGAGAGCCATCTGTAATCTCTGCTGCACAGCTGGGGAACATGCGCGCACGCACACACACACACACACACACACACACACACACACACACACACACACACACACACACACACACACACACACACACACACACAGATATACCCTGGTCAGAGCTAACATTCTGCTAGTGCACCTGAGTAATAGACTACTAAGGAAAAGACAAAGCACACCTGCCTGGTCTCATGCATTATTCTGTAGTCTACGGTGGCTCAGGACTTCTATACAAGGTTGAATCAAGCTCTGTGAGTGTAACACACAGTAACTTATTTGTCTGACCCTTTGACCTTCACTTGCATGGCCTTTTCTTTTTTCCTTTCCGCTTTCTAGATGCTGAAATGTAAAAAAGAAATACTGCTTCACTTAAAGCTGCAGTAGGTCATTTTCATTTTTAAAAAGATTAGCTGAAACATTCACTATATTCTGACGGTAGTACACAAAACAGATAATATGTAGTGCGTCATTTGTGAGAAGTCACCGGCCCTGAACAAAAATAACCAATCAGAGCCAAGGAAGATAATTGATTGTTGAGTCTCATTCCTAGGTCGTCAAATATCGACGCTTTGGCACCCTGGGAAAGAGACTCAACAATCAGCTATGTTCAAGCCTCCAACTCAAAGCATCTTTCTTTATTTTTCAGCTCTGATTGGTTGTTTTTGCTCAGGCCCGGATTCTTGCAAATGCCATTAGAAGCGCTAGAACGAGCCAGAGGAACCTAATTTTTTCACAGATTATCTGTCTCATGTTCTACTGTCAGGATGTAGTGAAAGTTTCAGCAAATATGTCCAAAAGTTATTTTTATAAAAATTACCTACTGCAGCTTTAAATGCTGTCTTCATTGGTGTAAATTGACCAAACCCTTTGGCTGTATCTATGTTTAATGTATTTCTCATAAGTCTTTTTACTTAACTTCAAAAGTAATATTACTTTACTTATTACTCCCTGCCAACAGTAATTACACTGAATAAAATTATAAACGCAACACTTTTGTTTTTGCCCCCATTCATCATGAGCTGAACTCAAAGATCTAAGACTTTGCTCGTCGTCCTCATCGGGGTCTCGACCTGACTGCAGTTCGTCATTCGATGGGGTCTGGCACTTTGGAGAGGTGTTCTCTTCACGGATGAATCCCAGTTTTCACTGTACAGGGCAGATGGCAGACAGCGTGTATGGCGTCGTGTGGGTCGGTTTGCTGATGTCAATGTTGTGGATCGAGTGGCCCATGGTGGCGGTGGGGTTATTTTATTGATGGCATTTTGAATGCACAGAGATACCGTGACGAGATCCTGAGGCCCATTGTTGTGCCATTCATCCACGACCATCACCTCATGTTGCAGCATGATAATGCACAGCCCATGTTGCAAGGATCTGGACACAATTCCTGGAAGCTGAAAACATCCCAGTTCTTGCATGGCCAGCATATTCACCGGACATGTCACCCATTGAGCATGTTTGGGATGCTCTGAATCGGCGTATAAGACAGCGTGTTCCAGGTCCTGCCAATATCCAGCAACTTCACACAACCATTGAAGAGGAGTGGACTAACATTCCACAGGCGACAATCAACAACCTGATCAACTCTATGCGAAGGAGATGTGTTGCACTACCTGAGGCAAATGGTGGTCACACCAGATACTGACTGGTTTCCCGCCCCCCCAATACAGTGAAACTGCTCATTTTCGAGTGGCCTTTTATTGTGGCCATTCTGTGTGATCAGCATCTTGATATGCCACACCTGTAAGGTGGATGGATTATCTTGGCAAAGGAGAAGTGCTCACTAACACAGATTTTGTCAGATTTGTGAACAATATTTGAGAGAAATAGGCCTTTTGTGTACATAGAGAAAGTCTTAGATCTGTGAGTTCAGCTCATGATGAATGGGGGAAAAAACTAAAGTGCTGCGTTTATAATTTTGTTCAGTGTAGTTACACTTCTATTTATATTACTTTTCTGCTACACTCCACAAAATTCAGACTTACAATGATTAAAATCAGTTTTGTGTTTTAAAATCAAAGTAATGGAATATTTCCAGGTATTACTAGTGATACGTCTTTGCCCAACACTGCTGTTGACAATACCAAAAGCCACAGATCAAACACTCTTTAGCTACCTCACCTTACCCATTAGTGACAAATAGGGACTATCTCTTAGCATTAGCATTTACTTCCATTAACTTATAAATGTCATTTGTGGCCACTAATCAGCAAATGTTACATAGTCTTACAGGAAACAGTTAGCCTACACTTAACAGATATTTAATGGATTTGATTCTCTTCCACATACCATGGATAGCTCTTTGTTCTATGATGCTGTATCCAAACCAGACCACTGAGTTGTTTACTACCTAAAGCTACAACATTGAGCAACAGACCGTTCAAAAATAACAAGCATCAAAAACAAAGCATGAAGAAAATCATGAGACCTTGCTTTTTGTTTTTCCTTTCCAACAGGGGGTTTGATGAGAAAACCAAATTAATATATCCACATTGCAAAATATCAGCTCTGGCTTGATATGAAGCCAGATGAGTTTGGAGGAGTGTTTGTGTCCTTCACCTGCTGCTTGTGTATTTATTGCAAGGAGACAGAATCTAAAACCAGTGACTTAGCTGTTCCACCTGGCTGAACACGACATTGATCTGTGAGACTATGTTTCTGTGTGTGTGTGTGTGTGTGTGTGTGTGTGTGTGTGTATACGGTAAATGTGTATGTGCATGTGTATGGGATTTTAGCCTCATGTTTGTGTGTGCCTGTGTGTATGTGTGCCCTTCTGTGTGTTTTTTCAGTGGGTGATCTCTATGCCACCTCTATGTCTCTTGCCGCTTGACACAGTGGTGGGATAAAAAAACTGAGACCTGATAAGTCAGTGCAGTGACACGTAGGTTAAAATGTACAACACTATTCTGGTCTAGCCACCAGGTAAATCCATGTTTTATACAACCAACATGGATTTACCTGTGGCAGAAAAATCCCTGTTTTTTTATTGCCCTTTTATTAAACTTTAAACCGTCATATATTGTAGGGCTTAGCTTTAAGGTGCAAAGATAGACAGAGATCAATCAGCTCATTCAGCTCAAGCCAGTGGCTCCTATGGACTAACTGAGGAGGATGAGAAGTAGTAGTGGCTGGTTATAATTTCCGATTTGTTTACTCTAATCCTCTCCTTTTGACCATAACTCAGAAGGTATCCCTTGTTTCAAAAGCAAAAAGGAATCCTGAAATTTATGGATGAGTTCAATTACAGCAGCAGACAGAACACAAAGTGTCAGTGCTAATAATTATGAATTCAAAGTCCTAAAGCTTACACACGCTGTACCACAAGGCTCTGTATTAGTAGCTGTTGTTTTCCACTCTTATAAACAATAAAGGAGATAATCATCAGCCAGTGCCAAATAATTTCAATGCAGACGATACAGTTATCGATACAGCTGTCTAAGCTGTCTAAGTCGCTGACCTCCAGACTGCCTTTCACAAACTACAGTCATTTATAACTTATAAAGTACAAAAAAACTAATTTATAACTATCTCTAGAAATCATGCTCATACAAAAGGCAATTAATATTACTCTTTAAACAGTGGCTGCAAATTCACTAGAAATATTCTCTTCCTACAGATATCTTCAAATATGGTTAAATGACCAATTAACTTTCCATACACACATTGATAACACTGTAGAAACGTATGCCCTCATTACTGATTAGAGAGAGAGTTACTTGCTCCTTTGCAGCTAAAGAAACTCTTGTTTAGTCCACATTTATCTATGGTGGATTATGGTGACACCCCATATACTGTATGTATGGATCAGGCTTACTCCTGCTTGGGCTTGATTCATCATATTAGATCATGAACTCAGCACTGTAATTTATATGTATGTGTTAATTTAACGGACCTCAGTGAAAAAACAGAGGAAGATTTCATATGTGCCTTTTAAAACCTACCTTTGCTGAATGTTTTCTCTTTTGTCAAACTGCCATCAGACCCGATCCTCAAGATGGATTATCATCCCCAGAGTCTGCTCTGAATTTAGCAAAACTTTATTTTTGTACGAGGCACCCAGGGCCAGGAATAATTTACAAGGCAAACCTAATTTGGAAACACTGCCTTCATATCAGGCATTAAAGGCCATATTCAAAACACTTTTTATGAAGAATGTGACTGTTTGCAGTCATCTTTCTTCTATGCCTCTCAGATCCTATGCTATTGTAATATATGTGAAACTACTACTGAGACAATGTATCTCATTATCTATGAGTTCCAGGTTCATTTTGGTTCATTTTTTCTGACTTTCTATGCATGGGTTTTTGCCTTTGTTTAGCACTTTCAAAACTGTCCTCACCCTGTATGCATGGTGTCCTTTTTGTCATGAAAAACTAAACTATAAATCTGAAAAATATCCTTTTGTCAATTTAACAACGTATAAAGTTGCCAGGATCCTAAAATACATTTTTTTTAAAGTCATAAGCGCATATAAATATGTACAAATCTGTAGTGATAATTACAGAAAATATCATTATATAATAGGGTATAAAAAATAAGATTGTTTCATTATTTACACACATAAATGGAGAAGTAAAATTAGGCAAAACCTATTTAACTACAATGCAAGTGATTTTAGCAGTTTTGTGCATTCTCTATAATCTATAAAGTCTATGTGTGCAATTTACATTTACAGTCACTTTAAACACTTAGTCAAAGTTAAAAATATGGTCTACAGACATTAGAGACAATTCTGTGTGAAAGCCCCACATCAGCACTTTCAACTGGTTTTCTCAACTTGTCTCTACATTATATATAAATAATGTCACATTTCGATAAAGAAAACATGATCAGAGGATTCACTGAGATAAAATAAAAATCTGAAATTTCCTTTCAAAACCAAGTGGCTGGAGAATTTATAAACCATACAAGGAAAATGTCAGCAGCAAGCAGTCACTGATCACCAGATGTGGTTTGACTGACAGTTTCCATTGGGACTGTTTCTACAACACAAGTGTCTGGATTCTGAATTTTAAATGAAAGTAAACAGACAAAACAAATCCAAAAATCAACAACTTTTCTCTAAAATAACTTTTTTAGTGTTCCCGCACAAATCTTCATTATTGCTGAGACACTTTGAGGCATAAAATAAAATGATTATCAGCTTGACGGGATGCTGCAACCTTCGTAATCCTGCACATGTTGACTTGCTCCCCGCTGTCAATGTTTCTCATAAATAAAACAAAATCTCTAATCTGGTGAAAAAGCCTCTTGTGAGTCATGTCACTAATAAGCTTTGATCAAGCCTGTAAATACAAAACTAATAATAACAAATCCCTGGGGTTTGGTTTAAAGAAAACACAATGGTATAACTGTACCCTAACTCTAACACACACACACACACACACACACACACACACACACACACACACACACACACTTTCAAACTTACTTTGCCACTTTGTTAATGACAGGTGCAAAGTTGGTGGGTCCATATAACTGCACCGTCCTCAGGCTCTGGAAATAAGCCTCCAGAACGCCCTCTATGCCCACACAGTTTGGATTCTCGTTGTCACCACTCTGCAACAGACAGAATACAGACCACTAATGAAGCACACAGTGTACACAAACATCCAGAGTAGCCTACAAACGCTATATTTAACAGAGCAGTGCAATAAACGAGGAACATCAATCCATCTAGAGTACAACTGTTGTCATATTTTACATGGTTCTTTCAAAGATAATCAGACATATTTTAAATACGCTGCAAATACCTGCAGTTATATGTATACTATCTGCATTTAATTTGCCATTGTCTGATACACTGTGCACAAGGAAGTAGTGTCAACAGCGTGAAAGAGAATATAAACAGAAAGCTCAAGAGATTACTCCCAAATAAATGTCTCTCTCCTCACACCTACAGCAGGATCAGTACCTAATGACACTGTCTGGTTATATGTCTATAGAGGGCAATACTGGTCACTTTCTCACACAACTGGAAAGTTCAGGTAAGTACAGTAAGTTAATAAGTTCATGGAAGCTCAAAGTTGTCGGTGTAAAAATCAGTGTGAACTCTGGGGGGCACTGACAGGGATTTAAGATCAATCTATAATATTACAGTAATAAAGTATTTTAAAGTTTTTAAGAGATACTCCAGTGATTAAGTATTGCACTTCCATAAAGAACAGGGACTCACAAGAGTGGCATTAAAAAAAGAATAGTCAAAATCAAAGCAGCAGACAGTAGAGGCTCCAGTAGAGGCCTGGAGAATTACTCTTTTAAATTCTGCCTTCAGTTTGTAATGAAGGTTTTCTGTTAAAGGTCCAGTGTGTAACATTTAGGTTATCTATTGTCAGAAATGGAATATAATATTCATAGGTATGTTTTCATTAGTGTACAATTGCCTGACAATAGGATTTGTTGTATTTTCGTTACCTTAGTGAGCAAATAATGAGCTGTTTTTATCTACAGAGGGAGCTAAGAAGGTCCAACTGTAGTACTTCAGATCTCCCTCCTCAGGCCTCTCTAATGCAGGGGTTATCGCCGCCCTGCTGGTCAGAGAATGTATTGTGTTGTTGTGATGTATATAAAATAAATGATGACTGGCAACTTAAGGTCAAATGATTGCTTTAAATGAGGCCTCTACAGTAGATCTAATATGAGTGAAGATTCAGCAACTGGATTGCTTATTTCTCATTTCAATTTGTTTCAGGATTTGTTGGACTGATAAGGTAAAATAAGTAAAAGTTTAGGTAGCCTACTTTATATAACAGAACCCTACTACTCATACTCTGAATTGACTGAATTGAAACAAAATGGTAGAATATTTTAAGAACACACCACTAGACATCTTTCCTTTAATTCGTCACATTACCCCTATCTTTTCAATAATTCTTTTAATTAAGCTTTCAGCATTGTACATTCACCCAAATAGATTCTAATTTTGGTAACAGAAGGAGAGAGTCGGCTTCACTTCAGCTTAGCATCCAGCCGTTTCTGACTGGTTGCCCTGATCCCTCAGGAGGATGCAAGGAGGAAGTGGAGGGGATGCTGGGAGATCCCCGCTGGCAAGCAGATGAGCCAACTTCTCAACTTGTGTGACCAGCTGCTGTCTCAGCGACAACTGCTGGTCCAAACCACACCCTGCTACGGGTGAACTGTGTGTACGTGTGTCTTGTATGTGTGAATTCATATGTTTGTGTGTGTGTTCACATGTGTGTGTCTTACCAGTGGAAAGGCGTGGGAGATTTTGCCGTCAGGGGGCAGCTTAGCACCAAAACCGTAGGCAGGAAAGAGCTTGTCACTGTCATAGTCCTGGATAATCTCACCTACTGCTTTCAGGGCCATGGCATATGCATTCATTTGGTAGGGACTCATATAGTGGAGGGAGGTGGGCTGGGAGGGGTTACCTTGGAGGAAGACACACAGGAATTAGAATAAAATAAATGATGATATATCTCTCTCCTACGTTGTGTGTGGTTTTCACCAGCAAATTACAATGTGTCCACACAGGAGATGATTCATGCTAACAAAACACCGTATATACATTTCATCTCCTTCTTTCAAACAGGTTTACTAAAAAGAGTGTCTAGCATTTGCATTTTTATGTGCAATAGAGACAGACTATGGCTGTGATGAACTACATTCAAAATCGTAGCTTTAAGAGTCAAATTTTACACTTGCAGGAAAGGAAACAAAATATGAAATATTTTTCATGTCATGTAAACAGGATTATTATGGGGATTTATCAGTTTATGCAATCATGTGAATGCCTTATGCAATTGCTATATTTTAAGCATTAGAATTATTGCACACATGTAAACAGTCAAATCGAACTTCTCCCCTTGGGAAAAGCAGGTCTGGACTCTCCATTATGAAACGAGTGCCCAGCTCTAACGGGAATAAAGGGAGGGGAATGATTTGATTAGCCACGATAAATGCCTGCTTCTAACACAGCTACTGATAATATATTCTTCCTAATCCCATCTATCTTCCAACTGCGCCACAGGTGTACGGCGCGCCTCTGGCCATGAAAATACCAAACACATTCACCACGCCCTGTGCACCTTGCACGGTCGACTGCACTTTCCACCGTGTGGAAATAAGACCCTAAATGTAACAATCTATTCAAGACAGCAGTGTGCCCACCATCACAAGCGCAAGTGTGACTGCTATGAAAAATGAATAAAGGTCATGGTACATTACAGAGGGGAAAAAGGACAAGTATCCTTCACACTGCAGTGTTATATTTTAAAAGTAGTTTTTTAAAGCTGATTTCAGTTTGTAGTATTTTGCATCAGTAAGAGATCTGCATAAAAATATAATCTAATTAAAACTATTACTTAACCATTCCTATGCGTAGGATTTCTAAGTACCAGAATTATGACAGATGTTAAAATACAGTAGCGTAGGCTGACCATATTCAGCAAGGGACAGCTCAAGCAGCAGGATTTTTGACTGTTGTTGAATCCTGAATAGAACCGGTTCAAGAACCAAATCTAATTTGGTGGAAAAGAAGTACTCCTGGATCCCACTTCTCTTCTTAATTGCTCCTGTTTGGAGCCACTGTCAGAGAAGAATTTTGTTAAATACAACTGATTTGAACATCAAAAACAGCTCAACAAGTGTAATACTTGAATGATTTCAAGCTGATTTCAGCTGTTTTCAGCTTCTAGTATTTTGCATCAGTAACAGAACTGCATACAAACTAATCTAATTAAAACTAATTATTACTTAACTTTTTTAAGATATTCAGCTGACTGCATAACGTACTGTCATCTGCATACAGTAACTGCTAGTTTGAGTCAAAATTCGTTAGGTCTTTGGAAAAATACAAAACATGAGTTGCACCTGTCAGTTACCTTGTGGTACACCATGCCGTAGTCGTCTCACACTGGAACTGACGGTATGAAAAACACTTTGATGTCTAGTTGACAAATAGCAATGGATTGGTTGCACAGCAGACATTTTGACTTGTCTAAGCTGGAAAAACAAAGGTGGACTTATTAACAGTAATGACGGCGCAGTTCCATTAAGTGTCTTATAACAGTGATTGTGAACAATCACCCACAATAGCAGGACTTTCCCTAAGTGGTATGCAGCTACCATTAATACACCTGTGAGTTGTCTACTGTGCAACCAGTCTATTGAGCAAGGTTAGGAGAGTGGGCTTGCTACACTGGGCTGTACAACTGAACTGACCAAATAGTGGTTGTCAGGTATGTTTTCTTTTCTTTTATTATGTGTTCATGGTTGTTGAATACAGTATTTGTGTATAAATATGAGAGGGATGATGTAAAAAAAACAGTTAATACGCGATTAATCCCCTCCTGTCATTCATGGACAATCCACTGCATCCTCTGCACAGCACCATCTACAGGCAGAGGAGCAGCTTCAGCGACAGGCTGCTGTCACTGTCCTGCTCCACTGAAAGACTGAGGAGATCGTTCCTCCCCCACGTCATGAGGCTCTTCAACTCCACCCAGGGGAGGAAAACCGAAAAACTCTAAACTCCAATATGTCTGCCCTGTATCCAAACTATACCACCCGACGCAGTGCACCCTGCATTTTGTGACCACCTACGTATGCACTTTAGGCCTTTCAAGCACTGTATTTGACCATGCACCTTAGGACACTCACCCAATGCTTGTTATTTTGCTATTTATTTTATTTGATCTAAATTTAGCTACTAGCTACTTTATTTAGTGCTTGGGAGATAAACACTACAAAATAAAATAAAAAATTATTTGGTAAAAAAGAAATAGTTAAACATTTTTGAGAAAAATGCTTATTTGCTGTCTTTCCAAGAGTTAGATGAATAGATTGATACCGCTCTCATGTCTCACAAATATGAAGCTGAGCCGCGGAAAGGGAAAGACTAAAGCAGAGGGAAACAGCTAATCTGGTGCTGCCTAAAGCTCAAAAACACACCTAATACAAACACCTCTAAAACTTCCACGTCTTTGAAAGTCCACAACCAGAAATGTAAAAACAACAACTGAGACACTGACTTTTAATAATGAGTAATAATTCTTACTGTTGGTTATGGAAGACAACTGACCCATGACTTGCAGTTCATATGGGCATTCTGCAAGCTGCGATAGTCTTGTTTTATGTTTGATGTAAATTTGAAATAGTTGATACAATGGCAGGGAGCCAATGAAGTGTTGTGTACACATGCACACCAACGTAAATTAAAATACATCCAAGACAAAGGCATGCATCCAAAATACACCAGAAGGTGACTTACCATTGGATGCTGTGAAGTCTATAGCCACTGTGAAGTTCAGTTGTGTTCTGTTGTAAAGAAAATGGGAATCAAAGGGGAAAAGAGGAAAACAACAAAGAGCATCACACACACCAACACAATGAACTGCAATATAATGAGTTTACTGGTTCATTGGCTAATTGGTATGGCGGGACAATATTCCCTCCACCATCTTGAAGGTTTATTTAGGTAAAACAAATGGAACCAGTAATTAAAAGTGAATGAACTGAATAAATTAGTCATTTGCAAATGAGATTTACCAAAGTAAACTTCTCCGAAAACAAGATGAATTCAATGTGATGCTCACAAAAAAAGCTTTTGGGAAATTCAATGTACTATCTTCAGATAACTACACACAGACAGACACACACACACACACACACACACACACACACACACACACACACACACACACACACAACCAAAGACACACACAACTAAAATGGTGGCTATTGACACTCACTGTGAGAGCAGGCTAATTATTATTCCACTCACCCTCCTCGGATGAAATCCACAAAGGTATACTCGGACTCCACTTTGAAGGACAGCAGAGTTACCTGGTGAACACACACACACACACACACACATACCGACACACATACAGAGTGAAAAACAGAGCAGAAGGAGGAACGGGCCCAGGTAGATGGGAAGGAAAAAGACAAACAGGTGGCCAGACAGCAAAGGAGTTGGTGAGAGAGAAGCAGATGTAAGAGGTGATGATACCAATATAAATATATTAGATAACATAAAATACCAAAACAGAGAAAATGACATGGTGGCTGTACTCACAGTTCCAGAATTGATGTATTTCTTCTTCTTCCCTTTCTTCTTGGGATTTAAAACCTGCCGGGGGGGGTAAGTTAGTGTATGAGTGGGTACTTGTAAAACCACTTCATACCCTGGAATGATGTTTAATAATGAACATGAATAATTCAACAGATTCTTGATAATACTGGCAGCCCATGAATTGAAACTGATATTTTGTTTAACTGCGTGTATATAGAGTAGGGAAGATAAAAAGGGACTCTGAGAGGTGAAGAAATTAAACCATTCATCCATCCATCGTCATTACGGATCCGACAGGTACATTTTCTCATTCTCTTGTAGAAGAGATGATTATTAGAGACTTCTTTATGTCTTTATTTATTATGTTGCAGTAGTATTATTAACTGGTTTGCATAGAACACAGTTTCTCAAATATTTTACACCATGTACCACCTCAGAAAATATTTTCAAATACCAGAATTATGACAAATATTAAAATACAGTAGTGTAGGCCAACCATATTCAGCGACGGATATTTACGCAGGAGGCAGACATTTCAATTAAAAGACTATTTATTATTGACTGTTGTTGAATCCTGAACAGAACCGGCTCAAGAACCAGATCTTATCTGGTGGAAAAGGGGTACTACTGGCTTACATTTTAGTTCATAACTAATCAAGGACATATGCAAGAGCAGCATGCATGAACATGACTACAAAGCCAGCTGATATTGAAACAAAATACTACTAGAAATGCAAAACTTAGTTTAATCAATCTCATAGTTTTTTTTAATTTATTTTTTAAATATTTCAGAGATTCCTCTGCGTACCACTAAAGGCAGCTTGCGTACAGCCAGTGATAGACGTACCATAGTTTGAGAACCAGTGGCTTTGAAAAAAGTATTCCTTTGTTGAGTGGGTGAGAATCAAGCGTATATTACATTGCAAATGGTACATTACATTTACCACTTACACCTGACCTTGGTTTTTTAACATTCTCTAAACTCCATGATGCAACGGTGGGCTCAGTTTTATTCTATGCTGCTGTAGTATGGGGTTTTAAGGATAGCCCTCACATAGACGCTATCCAGAGTTGAGATGCTTTCTAGGGGTACACAAATATACTGCTAAGACAGCTATTGAAGGAGACATGGGATATTTAGGAACAATTCGCAGTGTAATATAAATATCATTCAACAAAAACTGTATCCATAAGGAATAGTGGAAAGAGGAAATTTGGCATAAACCAAACCATTTTAAAATCAAGGAAGAGTCATATATAATATTTAATTTAGGGAGAGGGCAGAGGTTCCTGTGTGCTCAGGTAAGAACTGGTACCTTACCACTGGCAACAGAATTAGGCACATATAAGGTGTCTTGGTGTTATTAAGGATGAATTTCATTTTCATTTTCACTGCCCTGTGTACAATGACTTGAGGAACAATCTGTTTGAAAAAATCCAATTGAAGAACCCTGATTTGTTTTGGTTGTCTGAAGGTGAAATGGCTCTTTATAGAAAAGGCATGGCAATTAAGACACAGAGCACTGTATCCAACATTAATAGAGATTTTGGTCTGTAAGTCTTGTGAAATGTTTTGTTTACTGATTGATGTTCTTGTATTCTTTTCATATTATATTGTACAGTGTCTTTGAGTGTTCAGAAAAGCGCTTTTTAAATAAAATGTATTATTATTTTTATTATTATTTTGTAATTTGTGGAACGGTGCATTATGATTTGTCATGTGGCCATCTTGGCAAATGTTACATTAGTGTTTTGTAAGCCCATGGGCTGGGCACCGTAGAATGGTGTAGGACACTAAGGATTAAAAAAAAGAACACATTTTAGGATTTTATGTCTTCTTCTGCTGAGACAGCACCCCCCTGTGTGAGTATTTGTTTCCAATTGACAGTCCATCTGTGATTATAGAACTCTCTTTATGACTCGTCATTATGTTAACTGAAAAAATTAAAGTTAACCCCCTCCTCTCTGTAATGCAGCACAAACACAACACAAACGTGTGGGAGCTACCTGAATACTAAGTAAATCAGTGCTAACGTCGGCAAGCAAAGCTAACTAGCCTAGCGCTCAGTGTGGAATGCAAATTCAATAGAATGATGTGTCCTTCAGGGTCTGCTGCTCCCCCTACTGAAAAAAAATTGTGGGTGACAGGCACCTGAAGAGGTGGAGTGTATGACAGATGTGTCCAAAAAACAGTTTTATTCTCTTTCTTAAAATGGCATCAAAATAGTAACAAAAACATAAAAAACTGAACAATGCAGGAACAGCCATCCGTGTGTTTATTTATCAATCCGTTTGTGAAACCATCCATTACTTTAGAGGTTGCATTATATTGATGTCAGGGGAAAGGAATAACATCACCAAATGTTTTCAGCCTTTTCACTTTGAGGGCATCATTTTTTATTACCTGTATGTTATTATTTCACTTTCAACAAGCTTGTACAAGCTCTTGCAAAGGTTGTACAAATTCATCAGCCGTTGGAGAGCCAGCCAGCTGAAGTTCAAATATCAAAATCACCTAAATTGGAGTTGCAAGGTCTTCATGAGACAAAAGCTGTGAGAAACAACAAACCGCCCCCGTGTCATGTCTCACCTCATAGACATTGAACTGGTTCTGCCCCCGAGACAGCTCTCTGTAGCTGGTGGTGAACTCGCCAATGAAGTCATGGCTGCAGACAAACAACACCCACACAGAGAGGCAAGCATGAACACCAAATTGTAGAATATGAGATAAGTGGTCAAGTCTTTGTCTGTGTTAAAATCTTTCTCCATCTTTGTTTCTGTCAATCGCCCAGTTTCTGAACGATGTCTCTCCGTGCTGCATAATTAGTTGCTTTGTCACACACCTTCAAATATTCACTCACAGAATGTACACAAGATGTTTAATTTTCTTCTGACATTTGAGAGACTACAGTCTATAGTGAGTGGTTTTCCACGGATGATTTTACCTTCCATCTCGATCCCAGTCATAGACATCTACCTTCACAGTCCTGAAACAGACAGAGAATATTTTATTTCTGAGATCTGCTCTTTGCCGGATCGTCTCCTGTCAATAAGATGAAAGCCCGAAGTTCTATTTAATTAAACAAAAAAAATTCACTCCATCACACAGGGAAGAGAGCAATTACACATTTACTGATTCAATAGTGTCGGGGAGAAGAGGATTATTGTCACAGCAGGTACAGGTCGTTCTGTGAGCTAAAGGCCCATCTATGCTCACACTAGTTTCAAGCCAGTGAGCTTCATTAACTATTCATCAAGAAGAGAAAATTTAATAAAAGATTTTAAATATGCATGAAATACCACAAATATACAATTCCAGCCACAGGTGAAGAAGCAGATATACTGTATATGTAAATTTTACTTGAATGAAACTTAATTTGTTTAAAAGGTCACAGGTCTTTAAAAGTCCTTAGCATAGCTAGTGTGGGATTTGCATTAGTGCTTTACAGTGAAGACTGTAGGTGAAGGTGATGTGGGAAAGACTAGGTTCCAGGTTCTGGTCTTAATGCCCCATGGCTCCAATAGTACAGTTACAAAGATAATCAAAGTACTATTTGGCACAAAGTCACATAAATTGTTGGAGAAAGTCGTAAGTTGCCAATTTACGTAACGTTTGCTGATGAGCCATGGCCAAAAGCATACCCTGCTTTATCATCTATTTTACTCTAAATGGGACCATCATTTTACTAAATGAACATCATGCTGTATGGAAGAAGACTTGAAGATTGAGATCATAAACTGATTTGAGGAAACTGTTTACTGAGCTCATAAATCAAGTGAGAAGTCAGTTCATTTCTCCGTAAGGCTGCGTGGTATCGGTTTTTATTGCAGCGAATGGAGCTGCCCCCTGCTGGCCAGGTTTAAGACACTCCCGCGTTGGCTTCACTTTACAGACCCGGAATCTCTGTCCATTATATATACTGTCAATGGATTGTGGATTGACAGCAAGAACTCCAGTTCTTTTCTCCAGTCAATCAAGTGATTGACAAACATCTCCAACTTGCAGTCAATTGACGTCACACCACACAAATGTTTATTCATTAAAACCTGCTGGTGATGGGGATAAAAAGGTTCCTCATGTTCTGTCTGATCTTTTTTCTTTTTTTTTTATAAATTATATATGTGAATGAAATGCCATGGGGCTGAATGCCACAACTAGACAAGTTGAGTACTGAGTGGAATGGATTTTATGACAGTCCCTACCCTTTAAGAAATGCAACTCTTTGGGGTATAATTATTACTTTTAGTAATCTTATGAGGAAACAAGCAAAAAATATGTTTTTCTAAAGGTTTAATATTTAGATTAAGTCAGAAAAACATATAAAACATATACCACAATGATAAGTAGAGGATGACAGGTCCTATTTTTGCAGAAGTGGCACTGCATGCACTTCTGTATGCATACTGTGTGCGGTGTGTACCTGGCAGCAAGTGGCTATCACAGCCGCCCAGCACATCCCAATCTGACTTTGAATGTATAACAGAGTGCTGTGTGAAAGCTGAGTCAGTCTCAATAACACCAGTGCTGGTCCCTGGTACACCATGACCGACTGCTGGCATTATTCTGACCGCCCCAGCAACAGGTGATGTCATTCACATAAGACTCTGCCTGTGCCTTAAGTTTCCCTACTTCATTTAATCATAGAAAGGTATGTGTGCAATCCAGGGTAGAGGAATTCATGTAGCTCATGAAATACTGCTGGCCTGTTGAGATTTATGGTGTTTGTTTCATGCAAGTTACTTCAGTGTCTAAACAGTAATTAAATACCTTACAATGACATTTTTTTCACTCTCCATTTGGATGTATAATGGAGTTGTGCAAACATTTTTCTGACCTGTCATAGTCGCCATTGCAGAGAGCTCTAACAGGGATGGTGAAGGGCTGCCATACCGGATTCAGTGTGTTCTTGATCACCTCTGTCTTATGGCAGATGGTGAACCTGCCAGCGAAACATGAGGCCATTAAAGGGAAAGCACATTTATACTGCTCACATTGTACCTGTGGAGATAGCCCCACATCTATTATCCACAGATAGCACTGCAATGCTACAAAAAGATTTACAGGTTTTTCATATCTGCTTAAGTATATCTGGGGGACATGACAGAATTGCAGATTGAGTTTTATTGCTACAAACATCTCTCTGAGGCACAGCAGTTGAATGAGGTAATTATCTTAAAGGTTGAGATGAACCTCAGAGGGTGGTGTCATGTGATTCAGAATCAATTCATACGAAAAAGCAGATGATTATTTGCATGGACATATGTAGTCTTCACTGTCAAAATGCTCATGAAACACTTTCATTTCTTTGTCCAGTACAAGCGCAGCTGCTGGAGCTGAAATACCAATGACTGTGTTCAGCAGTACCTAAATGGAACATTTTGCCCACTTGGGGATAAGTGGCTGCAATCCCTGTACCTAAACATACTCCTGTGAGTTACATTTCATCATAAAATCATGCACAAGCCGTTCTTCAGGCATTTGGACATGAAGGTTGAAGTAGTATATGAAGTATGAATTACATTGCTGGACTGCCAAACCGCTTTGAAGGTGAGGAAACAACACAATTTTTATTTTTTATTTGAACCCTATCTTTAAAAGAGTCAATACAAAAGCTAAGTGACTGTAAATGAATAGCGGAAAGAGAACAATAAGAAATTATAAGTCAGGATCACATTTAGCCATATTGCATGAATCTTGTTTTCTTACAACTTGAGGTTTGTGTACAATGGAAGGAGGCCTGCATGAAAGTAAATCTGGTGTAAAGTGCCTTTGAAAAAGTATTGAAACACTCTCTTGGCCATTTTGCATACACGGTCCCTGACTTCAGTGTCAGATAATGAGGTAAAATAACACCTGCGGAACATGGAATCTGTTCATATTTGAATAATTTATTCAAATTCCTTTACATCCCTTTCTAGCAGTCCATGAAAGTTCAACATATTGCTCTCGTCACCTGAGCATAACAATGGGTGGCAAAAGGTTACAGACAGAGGTGAACAGAGTCCACCCTGAATGCGCCAACTCACGTTCCGTCCTCATTACTCCGATAGAAAACCAAGAAGGGGTCCGACTTGCCAAAAAAGTCTTTCTTGTCCAGCTTGTTGGCACATAACTGCATGGTAGCAATATCCTGAGAGGGAAGACAAGACAGTTTCTTAGTTGGATGTCAATATAATCATTCTGACGCAATTTCATTTCTAGGTCAGTAACATGTTGTCTCTGAGAACTCATTTCATTTTTGTGTGACCCAGGCGTGACAATCTTGCAACAGAGCAGTCCCTCAGTGTAAAAACTCATGCATAATGGCAATGCAAATCAGAATCCCCAACACAAGCAGACTGAACGGCTTAATAACCGATGCAAACACAGATTACAGTGATTGCAATCCAGTGTTTCATTTAAATTACAAACATTATAAGTGGGAGAAAACTGATTTTATTATGGGCTGTCTGTAATATAGTCAGAGAGGCAGAGGGATTGGCTTCATACATATGAATGAATGGATACAGCAGTTAATGAGAGACAATGTTATTCCTGCTACAAGAGTGGATGGATGAATGGATGGATGGATGAATGGATGGAATGATGGATGGATAGCTATAGATAGATAGACAGATAGATAGATAGATAGATAGATAGATAGATAGATAGATAGACTTTAATGAGGCCTTTTAGTCATTGCCTCCAGTAGGAAGGCATCATGGGATACCTAAGCTTGTTACTTACAAATAGGCGTCGTCAGCCTACACACACACACACACACACACACACACACACATGCAACACGCTTATCAAAATTTTCCAAAGAGCATTTGGTACTTGTCAAGAGCAGAACCTCCCAGAGTAACGATGGTAAACACAACCAAGATAGGCCTGTTCACATAATGGTCTCTGGAGCCAACACACACACACACACACACACACACACACACATGGAAATTCTGTGTATCTGACTGCCTGGTTGGTATTAATAAATTATTATGGCAGGGGGATGGCAGATTTGGAAGAGAACAATCACTTAGTTCATAGCAGGAAACCATCTTGAGAGCTGATTTTAAAGACATTTAGAGAACTGTATGGATGTCTGGGGAAACACACCATCAAGTGTTTATTAGCGCTGAACACTGGAAGAATGAACTTGAGAGTAGGCGCTCTAGTGAAGTCCTTTACAGATTTAAACTTGTGGACATTTGTTAGATGATCTGTTATTTTTTGAAAGATTGTCCCATCATTAAATGTTTTCTTTGCATGGCTGTGTGGGAGTGATTGTGTGCGCGGGTTGAGAGGATTGCAAGTTATTACAACAACAGCATCAGGGCAAATAAAAAATGCAGACAATATGAAAATATTCCAGCAAAACACAGGTTGTGTGCGTGTGTGTGTGTGTGTGTGTGTGTGTGTGTGTGTGTGTACTGACCCTGCAGTTACTGAGCTCCTCTGCAGTAAAGATAATGGCTCCACACTTCTTCCCCGGAATCCCACTGAGAGCGAAAGGAGAGTGAGACGGAGAGAACGATTGAGAAGGAGGGTAATTGTAGCACAACATTAATAATAGAATTGCCAAGCAGATGTCATTCATAGCAATGAGCTGTTATTGTGATAGGTGACAGCCCAGCATGTAGATTGTCCAATTTGCAAAAAAAGCTTATATTTGCTGTCCTGTACTTACTTTCTAATATCATTTCTGAAATGGGCGCCTTTTTGACACCGTGATGTCTGTTTTATTCGAATCATTCATTACCTTTCCTTTTTAACATTCACATTTGACTCAAAAAAACAAAATCCACCCAGTCCAAATCAGGCACCTAAATCCTGTGGATCCTGTGTCACACCATTAATACCACATATGGGCTGTTATCTACAATCAATCAATCAGTGAGACTTTATCTGTATAGCACTTTTCATACAAGCAAAATGTAACACATAGTGCTTCACACATTGAACAAAAAATTAGAAATCCTGCATTGTTTTAAATTCATACGAGCTTACTGCTAACTGTAGGTTTTGCTTCTTCCCTCGTCTTTCCTGGCACATTCCTAGGTTTCTTGGCGCAATACTGCTAACTACTGTCAATCAGCAGAATAGATCTTTTTTACAGTGACATTTTGACATGTGACATCAGAAACAGACAACACAAAATAATGGCTGAATGCCATTTAGCTGCTTCAGTTTCAAGGTCCTGGTATCATGCATGTGTGCAATCTCATTTTTTTTAAAAATCTACAAAAAACCTGTAAAAAAAAAAGTGAATTAATGCCACTGTAATGCCATGGTACTTGTTTTTACTAAGCACTTAGTACTGTAGATACCAAGGATGCAATTCTCCTGGACCTGTCGGCGCAGCATATATGCCTACAAATACTGTAGTCGGCCATTAAATGTGACAGAAAGAAGAACATGTTGAGGACGGCGACAAGTGCAGCTTTCCATGCACAGTGCTCTGTCTTCAACTGTGGACTGTGTTGCTGTGCTTGTGTGTGTGTGTGTGTGTGTGTGTGTGTGTGTGTGTGTGTGTGTGTGTGTGTGTGTGTGTGCGCAGGAGCTCAGACCCACCCGCAAAGGTGTTCCACAGCGGGTGGGTCAGAGGCGAGACAGAGAGTGGCAGAGGGCACTCTCACAACGCCACTTTAAGTGCAACAGAAAAATAGCAAATACGAGTAATATATTAATGTAATCCACACAAAAGATGTACAGACAAGGAAAATAAACACTCAGCAGAATCCAGTTCATTCAGGTGACTTGGTGGCCATTGCTGCACTGAAGCAACAATCACTGCAGGACACTTGGAGAAAGAGAGAAATTCCCTCTAGACAGCGACAAGACCGACAAGATCAAAACAGATTAGAGAGAGTTTGTTAGGGTATTTTATAGCCTACTTTGTTTAATAGTTACTTAATATAAAATATATATATATCAAATCAGGAAAATGAATGTATTGGATCAGGACTCAGTATCAGCAGATAATAAATGGGGATGGGGCAAAAAAACACTTGACTGGGACATTTTTACCGTGGTATCGAGAATCGTGGAATTTCCCTGGTATTGGTATCTACTACTACATTTCTGGTATCGTGACATCCTCAATTAGGAGTTTAGTGCATCAAGATACAAAGTTGGTGATGCCTATTCTCCATTACAGAAGAAGGGGTCTTAACGTGAGGACAAAATAAAAAGAGCTCCACTCAAGCCTCAAACGAACAAAAATCATGTGGAAACTACGATGGAAATATGACGTGTGTGTTTGCTTCATGTATTCATTTGAGGTATGTTTAAGTCACATGCCTAATGTGCATCATGATTAATAAATAAACCTGCGTTGCACTTTGCTGCATTTTGTTTTCATTGATGCAGCAACTTCTTCACCTTAGCCAAGTGTAAACTTGCGATGAATCAACTTTTTATTTTTATTTATTTATTTTTTACAATTTCTTGTGTTTACGCAGGTTTTTAAAGTGCAAATAGAAAATGCACATAAAAACAGGTGGATAGAAACACACTTACTGTCACGGCTTACTGGGACACACACACAAAAGAACAAGGCTATTGTTATTGTATAACACCTGTGAACCAGTTCCGTGTGGCTATTGTACCGGTCTCTGTGATGAACAGAGGGTCCTGGGGGGAAGCTCCGCTGGCTAACCAGGAGTTGGTGTATTCTAGTATTGGTTGAAAAGGACTTAAATAAGAGTCTAGGCGGAAGAAGTAGATTGGTTGAGGTAGACTGGACTGGTTGGTCTTGCTGCGTTTAAGATGGTAAATAAGGGTGTGGTTGGAATAAAAGGTAATGTCGGACATGGAAGCATGGCGAGAAGGATCATATTTGAGAGTAGAAGCTGTGAATTCGGAGCAGCGCAGAAAACCAAAGAAAGGCAGTAGGAACATGGATTCCAGGACCTTATCAATGTACAGGGATGAATAGCCTTCACGGAGGGTTCTGATGCAGCGGGTGAGTAGGTCTGAAGTTAAGGGCAAGCATTTTGGTGAAGGATGTGCTTCTGTCTTGCGGAGACCTTTGATTAACATGCTGATATGAGAATGAGAAGTGGCTTGGAATGGTGCTCCGGAGGATAGTTTTATGAAAAAGTTAATGCTGCTTATGTAGGCTTGAATGGTGGAAGATTTAGTGTTAGTGTTAGTGTGTTATTATGGCCGGGGATGTGAGAGGCTCGGATAATGAATTGTTGTTGGGCCGAAACTAAGGTGAGCTTCCTTATGAACTGCATTATGTCTAGGCAGTGTGAACGTCCCTTGTTGATGATGTCTACGACGGCGCTGTTGTTGGAGTGGATAGTGATGATTTTCTTGGACCATTTGTAGCCCCAAAGAATAGCTGCGATGATGACTGGGTACATTTCGTAGATAGCGGAGGAAGAGGAGAGAGATGAAAATTCGGACGGCCATTTGGCTGAAAACCACCTGCCACTGAAGTAGCCGCCGAAGCCGACAGAAGGAGCTGCGTCTGTGAATAGCTGGATGTCTTCTAGCAAAGTGATGTGTGCGTTGTAAAAGAATGAGATGCCATTCCATGATGAGAGGAACTGGTGCCATAATTTTAGCTCCATTTTACATGCTTTGTCCAGTGTGACATTGTCGTGGAGAGATGGGATGGAGGAGGCTATGGAAAGCAGGTGTGACAAGAAGGATCGGCCTTGGGGGATGATGCGGATGGCGTAGTTAAGGTGGCCGAGCAGCGAGAGAGAGGAGGAAGTTTGAAATGAGTAAGGAAATTCTGTGTACTTTTTCGGTGGGCAAGGATGCTTGGAGTGAAACGGAATCAAGAGTAATGCCAGGAAATTCCAGGGATGGGCTCGGGCCCTCCGTTTTCTCCGTGGAGAGAGGGACTCCAAGCTCATTGAAAGTGGAGATCAGGGTATGTAGACTGTGTGATGGGGGAGACGAGGATGGCGTGACTGTGAGGAAGTCATCTAGAAGATGGATGATGTATGGGAGTTTGTGCTTGTTTAGCAAGATCCAGCAGAGTGCTTCAGATAATGAGTCGAATATTTTCAGGCTGCTTCTGCACCCAAAGGTCAGGCGCATGGCAAAGTAGTATGCGCCCTTCCACTGAATGCCGAAGAGATGCCAGTAGTCTGGGTGGATGGGAAGGACTTTGAATGCACTGGTGATGTCTGCTTTGGCAAACCAGGCTCCTTGGCCAGCTATACTGATGAGGGAGATGGCGTGGTCGATTGTTGCGTAATGCATTGAAAGATCTGAGCTAGGGATTAGGCTATTGATGCTTGGGACTGGGGCACCATGGGGGGATGAGACAAGAGGCAATCAGAGTAGGAATGGGAGGGGCGAAGGTAGCCAAAGAAGGTTGGACAGGGAAGTTAGGAATGAGGGAAGGAGAAAGGATGCTGGGACAGAGACAGAAGGAATGTATGGGTTTTGGCTGATGGTGTTGCCGTGTGCCGTTGTTGTGGGCACGCTCTGTGCGGCTGAGGCAATCGGAGTTGGAATGGGAGGGGCAGGTAGCCAAAGAAGATTGGACAGGGAAATTAGGAATGATAGAAGAGGAAAGGATGCTGGAATGGAGGGATGCATGTGCTGGGGTTGTTTGAGAAGTGTGGGGTAAGGGAGAAGATGTATGAGAAGTGGGAAAGGCAGGTGCTGGGTTTAATACGACCTGGCGAGGCTGGGCTGTGGGGTGCTGGGGGCGTGACACTGGGAACTCGGAAGTGTCCATGGAGTTCTGCGAGGTGGGATGCTGCTCTGCTGAGAGTCCATGAAGAGTTGGAAAAGTTTCGCCTTATTGTCTGTGCGATGTTTCTCTGGGTAAGGGCGCGCTTCAGGCAAACGACCATCCACTCAGATATGTTTGGAGCCGAGGGACGATCGGCGAGATGGCGAGGTGGGGCCAGGTCGCAGAGGCTTTGCCCAGAGCGGCTGGAGGAAGGAGTGTTGGTCGGACGCCAGACACGAGATCTTCCCCTGGAGCGGTGGGGGGCCGAAGGCCCGATGTGTTGCAGCCATCTGTGGACGGAGGCTGGGAGCGCCTGACAGCGTGGATGTTTGAGCAGGGGTGGGATGGCTGACGAGTAGGGATGGTAGGTGAAGGAGATGTGGATCTGGGATTTCATCGAATATTTCGCTGTCTGACAGATTTAGGATGAGTTCGTTATCCATAAATTCACGTTTTTGAATTGTTTCTGAGGCAAGTCATATAGAAAATGGGACAAGGAGGGAGTGAACGGATGAGGTGTGCTTAAGTATGTTTTTAGCAGAAATGAGGTGAGTTTGGGGCGTGGTCTTTGTTCCTGAACCTAGATATAAAACTCCATGTAAACACAGGTGTTACCAATGATACTAATTAAGGTTCTGTTCCATTCAGGTCAAACTGCTCCCTGCTAAAAGGCTCTGCTACACTAAATGGCAACGTCTGTGTTTACCCTACTGTTCTGAGTCAAAATAGCTGCTGTGAAAAAGAGGAATGAGAGCGGAAATGTGTTTGTGTCGAGTGCATGCTCTTGTGTGCACT